CCACCATGTGCTGTCCGCAGCAGCTGTCCAGGTACCAGGTGTTGTGATTGTCGGTGTTGTTTCTGCGCAGGAGTAGCGCCAATCGCGGAGTGACCAAGGTTGCCTTGTAGTGCCTGTGGAAGAATAGATCTTCGTCTTCATTCCATCCCACAGGTACGTAGTGCTGGTTGTCATGTGGCAGGCTTTCCTGCAGTGTTATTGGCAGGTGCCAATCTTGCTCGTCTTCGTCGTACTGGTAGTAGTGGTCTTCTATGAGGGGATTATTCCATCCCTCTTCTGGTTCAATCAGTCCTCCGCGAAGTTCGTCCTCTTCGTCTGGTTCAGCAGTGCGACGACATCGCGTCCTCATGTTCGCGATAATGTTTCTAGGAGCTCGTGGTTGAGGTCTTTGTGGCTGCTGATATTGATGTTGCGCAGGGGGACGATGTGTCTGATGCTGAGGCTGAGAATAACGAGCGTCTTGTCAGCCGACCCAGTTGTTGTGGTGAGTGGAACTTGGGTGGCGATAGCTGGATCGGGATTTGCATCGATCCGTTGACTGTCCAAAGAGTTTGCATATTTTGCAATTGTGGCGCCTTGGTTGTCGTCGCTCTTCACGGTTGTCTGCGTAGAAGGCGAGGCGCTCTCAGCGCAGCGCGGAGCTTGTTCTGCTCGAATCCATGTCCTGCTGTTCAGTCAGGAGTGCGGCGCATAGCGCGGCTTCTGAGAGGATTCCTCGTTTTCGGAGTAGCGCTTTGCAGGGCTTCCACTCTGGCCCGAGTCCTTGAAGGACTATGTTGACGAAGATCTCTTCCGAGATCGCGCTCCCATGCTTCGTGATCTGGTCACGGATATTCCGACAGCGGTTAATATAAGAATTCGCTCAACTAGATGCTTCCGGGCTTCCAAGGCTGGAGCGGCGCTCTCTTTGTAGGAGCGAATGCTGAGTTGTTCCGCAGGCGTCATGTTGCGTAGCAGCACACTGTATGCCATGAGGGACTCGCTGTAATACTTAGCCCTGGCTTCCTCGGTGTTTTTCACCGGTTTGGGGTAGGAGCCGTCGAAGTAGTGGTAGATCTGCATTGTTTGAAGGAGGAGCTCAAGCTCAAAACTCCATGTGTAAAAGTCATTGCCGTCAAATGCGGCAGTAGTCTTAATTTTTGAAACGCTTAGAAAGCGTGCTTGTGCAGAGTTGATAACTTCTTCAATTGGACGGGGGGCAGTTGTTGTTGATTTGTCTGTGTCGAGGGAGAAGGTGTGCGCAGCGGTATCGCGGCTTCTTGTAGCCGGTTGTCCAGGTTGAGCTGGTTGGGAAGATGTTCCCACATCGCCTTTGCGCAGTTCTTGGAGTTCTTTCTCCATAGTAGAAAGTCGAGCGAATAGCTGCTCGAGTGCGGCAGTGCCGATCGTGGTTGTCGCCTCATTTGTCGCAGCCGGGTTGGTTTGTCCTTCAGCCGTTAGATTTGCTTGGCCTCCGGATCCTCCGGCCATCTTGGTCTTGGAGCGTGTGCTGCTCGCCAGATCTGGAATGGGCGAACCTTACGGAAGTGACGTTGCGAAGAATCCCTGAGTAGCTCTCATACCATGTTACAATCCCAAGTGGGACTTAGCGAAGGATCGCTCAGGGTTGATCACAGAGTAGTGTTTGCAGCGGAAGTAGTGAACTCAGGTCGGAGTGAATGTAAATGACTGAGATGATAATAGCATGCACACATCGGGTTTATATAAGGGTACAGGGAATAAGAAACGACCTAGGCTAACCATGTACTCAAAGGGGTACATTCCCTTATTACAACGAATTTCAAATCGTGCAGCGCGGGAACCAGGGCTGATGTTTCATATTAGGCTGTTAGAATTTATATGTAACTGCCTGTAGCTGTAGTTTAGTGTAGTTATTATAAACTGTTGGTGGTGCACCTTCTTTGCATGCTCTGTTTACTATATGTACCCTAGTGCTATAGTGAACATCACTTTTCCCATTCTCGACTCTCACCTTGGCACAACCTAAGCTTACTCTTACTTAGTAACTCAACATGGCATTAGAGCGAGTTACGTCCTGGCCTGTGGGCCCGCCTCACGCTTCCGCTGCTGTTTTTCCGGTCGCGCGCCTCGGGCGCGTGGCGATTTTCGTCCTGTCCCGCCCCCGGGTGGCGAGTGACATCTTTTCTGCCCGTCGCGCGCCCCGTGGCACGCGACGGTGCCCTGCCCGTCGTGCGCCCCGTGGCACGCGACGGTGCCCTGCCCGTCGTGCGCCCCGTGGCACACGACGGTGCCCTAAACCTGCCCGTCGTGCGCCCCGTGGCACGCGACGGTGCCCTGCCCGTCATGCGCCCCGTGGCACGCGACGGTGCCCTGCCCGTCGTGCGCCCCGTGGCATGCGACGGTGCCCTAAACTGCCCGTCACGTGCCCCGTGGTGCGCGACGGTGCCCTGAGCCGCCGCGGAACCGCCCCTGGCGCCTGCGACGGTGTCCTGAGCCGCCGCGTACCCGCCCCTGGCGCACTCGGCGGTGCCCCTGCCTCACCCGCGCCTGCACTCGCTGCAGCCGCCCCTGCACCACCCGGCGCCTGCCCTTGGAGCAGCCGCCCCCGCTCCTGCACTCGGTGCAGCCGCCTCTGCCTCACCCCGCGCCTGCACTCACTGCAGCCGCCCCTGACCTACCCGCGCCGACCCTCTGTAGCCGCTCTGCGGCTTTCTCCCCGCCCACCCCCTCCTCCTTCGTCTCCCTGCAGCCGTGGGGGGGAGGGTATGGGGGTGGCGGGTGTTGGGGTGATGGGTGGTGTGCTTCCCTTCCCCTCCTCCTCCTTTCGTTCCCACTGCTGCAGCTGCCGCTGGGGGGGAGGGTGTGAGGGTGTGGGGGAGCCGGGGGAGTGGCACTGGGGTGGCGGGTGTGAGACCAACCAGCAGCCGTCCCTCCACCTCTCCTCTCTTCCCCCCTCTGCTGCTCCTGCAGCAGTGTGGGGGGGAGGGGGAGGGGGAGGGTGAGGAAATGGAGGGGGTGACCAGCCAGAGCCAGCCCGCCTCCTCACTCTCCCTGCTGCCCCTCCTGTGGTTGGGGGGGGAAGAGAGTAAGGGGGTGGCAGGAATTTCTTGCTGTCGCCTGTCCCTTTGCTGCTGTACCTGCTCTGTTACCGTACCTGCTGTTGCTGTTGCTGGTATACCCCTGCAGGTTGTGTTCTGCACAAACTCCTGCTGCAGGCAGTTATGGGGGAGTGTTAGAATTTATATGTAACTGCCTGTAGCTGTAGTTTAGTGTAGTTATTATAAACTGTTGGTGGTGCACCTTCTTTGCATGCTCTGTTTACTATATGTACCCTAGTGCTATAGTGAACATCACTTTTCCCATTCTCGACTCTCACCTTGGCACAACCTCCTCGACTTCCCCTAGGCCTAGGCTACTAAGCCTAGGCCCTACCTAAAACCTAAGCTTACTCTTACTTAGTAACTCAACATAGGCCTCCCCGATTCCGGGAAAAAAATTCCCCTCAACTATGAGTGCACATTTTTCAGAATGATACTACCCTGATTGCTCAGGTTTGAAAAGTATATAACTCTGATTGTTCAGGGTCGAGAAACGAAGATCAGAGTAGTAACGCGGCATTTTTTACAAGGGAAAAAGTCTCGCTCTGCGTAAGTCTGTGCTCTGTGTTTCGCGCACACCATGAGCGCGCTAATGTCCAAGCGTTTAGTTTTAGAAAATAGTATTTATCCACACGTTTTAACATTTCGGTTCAATACTACAGATGTGTCAAGTTATTTATTCGCCGAGTACCTGAATGTCGCCAACATCGCTGTGCGAAAAGCAAAAAATTTGCGGTGACTTCATGCAAACACAAATTCGATAGTAAACAACTTATTCGCAGTTCGTGAACATAACCGACATCGAGTGTACTCGCCTGTCAGACATGCTGTTGTCCGTCGCTCACGCGCTGGCTGTACTGCAATCAATCCGAAGGGGGATATCGGAAGGAAATTTCCAAGAAACTTTCTCTCGATAAGGTCAAAATCAGGGACCACAAATTCGATACCCTATTAAGTCAGGATCCAGTAACAGGCGAGTCTATTACACTATACTCTAAATCAGGGATATGAAAACTATTACTCTTATTTGAACACGGTTGAGAACTCAGTAATTCTGAAATCTCAGTCTCCGCGAAGTGGAAAGCCTGATATCACCCTGAAATCAGGGTAATTACCCTGATAAAATCAGCCCTGGCGGGAACCCGTTTCAAACCTGTTCCCGCTCTTTTCACTTCAAATGTTTCTGCCTGCATCGGTCTTGATCAGATGGTCGCCAGCGTCGCTTCGACTCTTCTGACTCCTCGACTTCGTACTCGGTAGAGTCGGCTCCTGCAGCATACAGGAATGCCTTCTCATACAACTTCATATCGTAACACTTCTCAAGCGATGATCTACTGAACGGTAAACACTATATCAACATTTCCAAGACAAACATTTCCAACTTTCAGCCTACTACGAGCATCAGTGTAGAACTTTGCTCCAAGACAGATGGGAGTTTCCTTGTATCATCAGTGCCCTGACCCTCCCTACTCCCACCACCGCCACCTTCCCCCCCTTGACTCAACAACTCTGAACCAGCATCTTCGTTCCTATCCAGCCCCAAACCAGCCACGTACTCCCTCTTCCCCTCATTCCCCTGGCCCTTTCTGCTCCTCTTGCTCTTCCTAATCCTAGCGCCCGAGCACCGGCTTTTCAGTTGCACCACATGCTTCCAAGTAAAAGTTGAAAGCCTCTGAAACCACTGAAGCAGCAGCTGCAGTAGAGGCCGGACCAGCAGCAGTAGCGAAGACAGGCGAAGGGGCAGCAGCGGTTAAAGCAGGTGGTTCGGAAGGTGGGTGTGCTCTCTTTCTTCACATCCCCTGCATGCGGAGGTATGTGTGTAGGCATGCATGCGGAGGCATGTGTGCAGGCATGCATGCGGAGGCATTTGTGCAGGCATGTATGGATGCATACCCATAAAGACAGACATACACAACGAGACTGGGGAGTGTTTTCAAGGGCATGCCGACAGTGTCGAATAGCGATGATGGAGGCCTGCAGGCATGCATGTCGAATAGCGATGATGTCGGCGTGCAGGCATGCATGTCGAATAGCGATGATGGAGGCCTGCAGGCATGCATGTCGATTAGCGATGATGGAGGCCTGCAGTCATGCATGTCGATTAGCGATGATGGAGGCCAAGAAGAAAGAAGAAGAAGAAGGAAGAAGAAGGAAGAAGAAGGAAGAAGAAGGAAGAAGAAGGAAGAAGAAGGAAGGAAGAAGAAGGAAGAAGAAGGAAGAAGAAGGAAGAAGAAGGAAGAAGAAGGAAGAAGAAGGAAGAAGAAGGAAGAAGAAGGAAGAAGAAGGAAGAAGAAGGAAGAAGAAGGAAGAAGAAGGAAGAAGAAGGAAGAAGAAGGAAGAAGAAGGAAGAAGAAGGAAGAAGAAGGAAGAAGAAGGAAGAAGAAGGAAGAAGAAGGAAGAAGAAGGAAGAAGAAGGAAGAAGAAGGAAGAAGAAGGAAGAAGAAGGAAGAAGAAGGAAGAAGAAGGAAGAAGAAGGAAGAAGAAGGAAGAAGAAGGAAGAAGAAGGAAGAAGAAGGAAGAAGAAGGAAGAAGAAGGAAGAAGAAGGAAGAAGAAGGAAGAAGAAGGAAGAAGAAGGAAGAAGAAGGAAGAAGAAGGAAGAAGAAGGAAGAAGAAGGAAGAAGAAGGAAGAAGAAGGAAGAAGAAGGAAGAAGAAGGAAGAAGAAGGAAGAAGAAGGAAGAAGAAGGAAGAAGAAGGAAGAAGAAGGAAGGAAGAAGGAGGAGGAGGAGGAGGAGGAGGAGGAGGAGGAGGAGGAGGAGGAGGAGGAGGAGGAGGAGGAGGAGGAGGAGGAGGAGGAGGAGGAGGAGGAGGAGGAGGAGGAGGAGGAGGAGGAGGAGGAGGAGGAGGAGGAGGAGGAGGAGGAGGAGGAGGAGGAGGAGGAAGAAGAAGAAGAAGAAGAAGAAGAAGAAGAAGAAGAAGAAGAAGAAGAAGAAGAAGAAGAAGAAGAAGAAGAAGAAGAAGAAGAAGAAGAAGAAGAAGAAGAAGAAGAAGAAGAAGAAGAAGAAGAAGAAGAAAGGGGCAGAGGCAAGGGGAAAAGGGGAGAGGGGGAGAAGAGGGGAGGGGGAGAAGGGGGGAGGGGGAGAAGAGGGGAGGGGGAGAAGGGTGGAGGGGGAGAAGAGGGGAGGGGGAGGAAGGGGGGAGGGGGAGAAGAGGGGAGGGGGAGAAGGGGGGAGGGGGAGAAGAGGGGACGAGCATAGGGAGAGGGGAATAGGTGTGAAAGAAGTGGTTAGGAGCACGGGAAGAGGGGAAGATGGGGAGAGGGGGGAAAGAAGTGGGAAAAGTGTTAGAGGCACACAACCAGGAGCCCAGTAGAAGGACACAGGAAGGGACATGGAGGGACAGGGAGGGACAGGGAGGGACAGGGAGGGACATGGAGGGACAGGGAGGGACAGGGAGGGACAGGGAGGGACAAAGAGGGACAGGGAGGGACCCACATGGGGTGACTAGGTGGACCCAGCAAGCAGCGTGTGCTGTGCTGCTGCACGCTGCCATGTGTTGGCCCGCACCTGCACCTGCAGGCAGAGTGCCGTGAAACTCACCCTTCTTCTTCAGCACCTTTCCGCCTGCATCTTCCCCACTTCCTGCATCTTCTCCACTTCCTGCATCTTCCCCACTTCCTGCATCTTCCCCACTTCCTGCATCTTCTCCACTTCCTGCACGCACGCAGCTCACTGAGCTATGTCTGGACCTTCTTCAGCACCTTTCCGCCTTCATCTTCCCCACTTCCTGCTTCTCCTCCCTCTTTTCCTCATCCCTTCCCTTGTGCAGCCCTTCCCTTCCCTTCGCCCTCCTCGTGTATGCAATCATCGTTTCCCGGGCGTTTGTGCCCATAATGCGCGTCTCTTTTCGATGAAACAAGCCACACTCTCCCCTCGCAACGGCCCAGCCGATTTGCTTCTGCCTCTCTTCACTACTTGCTTCCATGGTGTAGGAAACAAACTGCAGTAGACTTTTGAGTCGACTCAAAAGTCACGAGAATAGTTCAAGCAAAAAGCACGAGCCTGCTGCCCGCTTTCATCCTCCTCCTTGCCTAACCATTCCCATCAGCTACTCTAATACCGAGTCAGCTTAGGGATGAGCACGAGGCGAACTCGAACATGTTCGCGTTCGCCTTGGCTCGAACATGGCCGTTCGGCTAACCAAACACTGTTCGGTTCGCGGAACAGGTTTCGCCAGAAGGGGTGTTCGAAGTTCGCATGGAGAGGCGAACATTTCGAACACTTTGGCGAACACGAATATGTTCGCAAGGAACATGTTCGTGTTTGCCTCGGAGGGCTTGGCATGACAAAACACTTGATAACAACACTGCGTAACGGTGAAACCTCTTCGACGGTGGAAACCCTAATGGTATCCCGCTACTTCAACTTATGAGTTTGGAGTAGATGCTACGTTCTATTGTTAAGCATCGAAATCACCCTAAACTCTAAACGCCATAGTTGAAAGAAATTTAGGCACTACTAGGCTAGTACTAGAAGGTGTGGGTGTGGTAGGTGGTAGTGGGCTGGGCGGGCTGGTGTTAGCGACATGGTCGCTCAGCTCTAAAAAATGAGCCACAATTGAATTGGCCGCGACCCTAAATTAGGTCGCGGCGACGTGACGTGTCGAACACGAGCATGTTCGTGTTCGACGCGGCTCGGCACATCGCGGCTGGCGAACACCGAACATGTTCGCCCGAACGGCGAACATGTTCGGGCCGAAAAAGTTTTAGCAAAAAAAAATCCCGTTCGGTTTGTCTCGAACATGTTTGAGACGAACCGAACGGGTGTTCGGCTATATGCTCATCCCTAAGTCAGCTGAGCTGCTCGTCCTAGTCCCAGCTGCAGAGTCAGCTGAGCCCAGCTAGCTGAGGTTCTAGCTGGCCCCCTACTGGCCCACCCGGCATGCACCGCCTTCCAGCATGGCCACCTTGAATTCAATTCGATGTGCGGCTCGGCTTTCACTTCACACACTTCTTCGATCCTGCCTTGACAACTCGGCTCAAGAGCGCAACATACAGAACAGTACATCTAAAGGGAAAAGCAGCAAAAGCAACAGTAAATCAGCAAACAGTCTCACCCTTAGCTGCTGTGCCATTTACGCCAAGTCACTGACTTGGTGTCACCACAGCCTGTTGCACAAGCAGGAGAACCAATCACTTTGTACCGAGGTCTCGTCAACGCGTGTTGCACGGAGTATGTTTGATAAGCTCTGTCAGCGGGGCTAAGCTCACAATAACGTTCTGCAAAAACAGCAAGTTGCCTTGGGGATTCAGGAAGGGAGAATGACAGGGATTCAGGAAGGGAGAATGACGAGAAGGGAGAATGACGAGAAGGGAGAATGATGGGGATTTAGAAAAGGGAGAATGAACCCCACCAACGGAAGCCTTACCAGCAGCAGCCACACCACCCCACTGCTGTGCTACAGCCGCGCATCCAGAGCACTCCACCCCACCCCACCAAGCAGTGCTGCTGCTGCAACGTCCAGCCGTAACCAACCTTTGAGGTGCCTCAAAAGTCGTCATGCAGAGCGCTCCACCTCACCCTACCAAGGCAAGCAGTGCTGCTGCCTGCAGCGTCCAGCAGAAACCAACCTTTGAGGCGCCTCAACAGTCAAGGCAAGCAGTGCTGCTGCAGGCAGCGTCTAGCAGAAACCTATCTAACCAGCAGCCAGCCACACCACGCCGCTGCTGTGCTGCAGCTGCGATTGCAGAGCGCTCCATGTTGCCATGTCGAGGCCCAAACCCTAATCCTACCTCATTGGCCACCACTCCCCATCCTACCCCACCCCACCCCACCATGTCCCGCCCCACCCCACTCCGCCCCACGACATCCAACACCGCCCCACCCCACAGTGAAGTGCTGCAGCTGCGCGTCCAGCCGCGCCAGCAGTCTGCGGCGAGCCTGTGATGCTGCTGCGCGCTGCCGTATGGTGGGCTGCAGGCGGAGAGGAGGGGACGGGAGAGGGGTCTATGTGGGGAGGCAATGCATGCGTGATGGTGGATTAGGGAAAGAGAGTCGACTCAAAAAATGAACCCAGCAGCTGTGCTGTGCATTGTCACGCAATGGCATGCATGCAGGTAGGTAGGGCAAGGGGGAGGGGGAGGAGAAGGAGGAGGGGAACAGGATGTATGGGACCGGCAGCCTGTGGGGATTTGTGATGACTGACCAATACTATGCATGTACTGACCAAGGGGAAGAAGGAGAATTGCCACCTGTGCGTCTCTGGCCCTCCACATGGCATCCCACGCCCTCTTCAGATCCTGCGGAAAGGCAGACGAATGAATGGTGGAAATTACAGTTGAAAAGGTAGGCAGAATACAAATCAGTCGTTGATACTACAGTCCTTTCATAGAGCAAGTCGATGTGCTTCAGTAAACGATCCAGAAAAGTTATGACAGAGAAATAACGCTTATAGCGAGGATGTGGAGTGAGGAGGGAATGGATGAGGGGACCTGGGAGATGAGCTGCACGTCGATGAGCGAGGGATGCCAAAAAAAAAAACACTAGAAGAAGAAGAAGAAAGAACGAACAAAAACACTATTAGAAGTTTGTGCAATGAAGCTACTAGTTCACGAATTAAGCGAGCGGGTTAGAGTACTCTCTCCCTGCAAACAGCCATTCGCGACACCGTGCTTTTGTGGAGTGCATGCCTACATCAAATGCCAGTTGGTGCAACTCGGTGCTACTCGGTGCCACTCGGTGCTACTCGGTGCCACGCGGTGCTACTCAGTGCACTCAACGGATACGTGACAACGTCCCATTGAGAAGGGGGGGGGGGGGGGGTGAGATGGTACGATGGGAGCAAAGGGGAAGGTGAAGGGCCGGGAGGGGGAGAGACACTCGGCTCGTGCATGGGTTGATGTAGGAGGGAGGGAAGGAGAACTGGTGCCTATAGTGAGATGGTATGGCTACTGTGAGATGGTGGGGGAGCAAAGGGGAAGGTGAAGGCGGGCAGAGGCGGAGGATGCGGGTGGGGGGGAGACACTCGGCTCGTGCATGGGGTGATGTAGGAAGGGGCATAGCATGATGGGATGAAGGGCGTGGCACGATGAGATGAATGGAGTGGCGGTGGATGCTGGGTATGGGGATGAACATATGGAATAAGGAAGGGAGGGCAGAGGGAGTACAAGGAGATGCCAGGGAGGGAGCAGAAGGGAGGACTTGAAAGGAAAGGAAAGGAAAGGAAAGGGAAGGGACGTGGGGGGGAGACGAAAGACGATGAGAGCAGAGGAATGTGGTTCAGGAGAAGGGATGTGAAGGGAAAGGGGGAGCGGAGAGCGGAGCAGGTGTCAAGTTAAAAGAAAAAAACATATGCTCATTTAACGACCAGCAAAGACAGAATAATGCTCTCATTGAGAGTTGAACTCAAGACCTCCCGCTTACTAAACGGGTGCTCTAACCAACTGAGCTATGAGAGCTGACTTTCAAAATTTCCCGTTAAAAATAGTACAGGTGAATCTGCGAGTAATCTCAGAAGCACCACGGTTGTAAAGTGAGCTGCTGGGTCAATGGAAGAAGGGAGTCCTTATCCACTCGCCACTGACTGCCTCTATCCTCACCGCCCCGACTGCCGCTGCTGCTGCGAGTCATGGCTCTGTCATGGCTTTTCACAAGTCCGAGCAGGGTGCTGTTGGTTGGTGGGGGAATGGAAAGGTCAGAGGGGAGGGAGGAAGGTCGGGGCTTAATTTTCAGAGGGCCGAGGTGGAAGACAGGCGATGATGACATTGCAGGCCAGCAAAGTAGCAGTGCAGGCCAGCAAACTAACAGTGCAAGCCTGCAAACTAGCAGTGCAAGCCTGCAAACAAGCAGTGCAAGCCTGCAAACAAGCAGTGCAAGCCTGCAAACAAGCAGTGCAAGCCTGCAAACTAGCAGTGCAGCGATGAGAGGCAGTGTTGGAACAAGACACATGGGAAGCGGTGCTCAGGCTCAGTCTGCCTCGTCGGCAAAACAGGTTCGTTATGCATCATCGGCAAAATAGTGCAAAACCAAAATACTGGGTGCAAGTAGGCGGAGACTCAAACAGAGACAGGCATGATCGGTAACAATGGATGGAAGAAGAGGGATAGGGTGAGGAAATTATTCAGATATCTCCGCCTACTCGGCTTCTCTCACCTCTGCAATGGCACGTCGCCCTGCGTGCCGTCAGATGAAAGGCCATCCACAATCTCATATCCATGACTCCTGCTACCTTAAAACCGCCCTCCCTCCCTACCTTTCGTAAAACCTTCGTCTCCATCTTCTCCCCTAGTCCCTCCTACTTCGAAACCAGTTCTCACCAGTTGTCGCTCGTCCCCTCCATACCTCTGTTTTCCTCCTCTCACTGCTAATAAAGATCAGGTGCTATTGGTGTGGAATGGGAAGGCAGGGGGGGATGGGAGTGGGGCAAGTGGTGAAGTGGGTAGGAACATACTGGTGAGCGAGGAAGGGGGAATAAAAGATAGCTCATGTAGTCTCGGTGAATCTGCCACGCTTCCATACTGTGTCTCCCAGTGTTTGAGATGGGTCCTCACTAGTTCAGGATAGTGCTGTTGATGTGGGAAGGGGAGGAGGGGAGAAAGAGTGCAGAGCGAGGATGGGGGAGGTGGGCAGATGGCATCTGATGGTATTGCGCGTGAAACGGCAGCTAAGCTGGAAAATAGGTATGTTCGCTGGCGTATACATGCTGTACGAGAAAACACTTTGAAAAACGCTAAAATTTGCTCAGGCTGCCGCCCCCTCCCTCCCCTAAAAAGAAAGACCCATAAATCTTGAGTTGGTGACACACGTCGCGAACTCAAAAGTAGACTCCCGAATTTGTTGATTCAAAAGGCAGCGCTCAGATATATGGCATCTCATCAAAAAGTAGCGCCAAAATTGATGTACGAAGTGCTAAAAAATGTGAGGGTGCAAACAGAGAAATACACAAAGGTTCAAAGCTCCTTCGTGGAGAAGTTGCCTTGTAGCTCGCTCCACCCACCTCCGCGTTTGGCACCCTAACGCTGATCGCCATGCTGCTGCCGGGCATGGGAGGAGAATTGTAAGCTGAGATACCGTTAGCTGGGAGCCCCCATGTTCCACCTGCTGGCACGCTGCAGCTGCATCCGCCCACGGACTACACGGCAGCGAGAGCCAGCACTGGAATAAGATGCACGGGATTATATACTTAGGTACATTTCGCCGCGTCAACAAACTGGCATCAAAACCGCCATGATACCGGGCGAGATAGGCGATGACGCACCGAAAGGAAGGCAGGCGCAGACGCTCGTCACATGCTTTTCATCCCAAAAAAGTTGTTAACAGCAAGCAGTCTTTCTTGCCAAGCAATGGATGGAAGAAGTTAGAATGGAGCAGATTAGGATCAGAATCTGCAGCCATTGGGATGGGGCAGGGCGACTGGGCCATCCCATCCGACTCGGCCTCTCACCTCCGTGTGGGACCCCCGGCACCTGGCACCCCCACACAGAGCTGAGACCAACACGCCCGCCACACCCCATCGCATGACAGCATGCAATGAGCAGCGTGCAGCTAAGCCCACGCTGCGTCAATGTCATACCCACGGCTTCTGCTGACACGCCTCTCTCCTACCCTGCCCGCCTCCACCCACTCGACGCCTCCCTCCTGCCCTGCCCTCCTCCACCCACTCGCCACAGTCCGGCGTCATTGCGACCACCGCTGGTGCTTCTGCTGCCCGTGGCTCTGCTCTGCCATGCAGCCCGGTTGCATGTCGCAGCAGATTTTGAGGTGCCTCGAAAGGCGATCAGCTGGGCCCAGTACATTGCGGGAGCTGTTGGTGTGGCAAGGGGAAGGGAGTAGGGGGGGTTTGGGCGAAAGCTAAGAAGGTAGAAGTTTGCTGCTGACCGGGGGGGGGGGGGGGAGTGGAAGATTGCTGACGGCATTGCACTCGGGAAAGTGGCGCCGCTCGCATTCATTCTTCCACGCAAGCTGAGCGCAGACATGGAAGTCGCGAGAAAGATCAAAGCTTCCCTCTGATTGAAGTCCCTTGGACATTGTGGCAAAAGCGCCTTCCACCTTAAACCTAAGTGAGAGTGTTCCACTGGTGACCCATGATTAGGTCACGTTCTTCGCACCACCCACACACCCTCTTCACCCACCGATGACCCGCAGCAGTGACCCGTCACAGCCCACACCTCCCTCCTCGCCCCACGCACCACCATCTCCCGCTGCTCCTCACTGAAGAAGGGAACCGCTTCAGGACACCCAGCAGCCTAGCCCAGCTCACCCCACACGTGACAGCCAGTAACTCATGATGAGTATCAAGCAGCCCGCTACCCCATCCACAGCCACAACGCATTGCTTCCTCCTGATGCTCGTCTGCGGGGGAACAGCACCGCCATGGGGCAACCAGCAGCAGCTACCCGCCTCCTGCACACCTCCGCCACGTCATCAGCTTCCGCACAGGTTGCCCCGAGAACGGTGAGCCTGCACCAGAGGGTTCGTGAGTCCTTGGGCAGAAGGTGGTGAATCCGTGAGGGAGTGGGCGTCGGTGTAGGGGAAGAACACGCGGAGCTGGGGACAGTGGGGAAGGGGAGAGGGGAGAGGGGCGCAATAGTGAACAGCACAGTGGTTCATTAGAGGTGTACGGAAGACAGTGCCGTAGGGGCACCAGTCCGTGCAGAGGAAAGGAGTCTTTGCCGTGGGTCCAGCAGTTGGTGCAGGAGAAGCAGGTGCAGGGAATGAGAATCCTAAAAAATCGCTCACGAGAAGCCGGTGCGGAGATGAGAGAAGTGGCGGGAGGGAGTGAGTGCAGTGGGGCAGGCAGACGTGAGCAAGGAGTTTCAGGTGCGGAGGTGGAGGGGAGTGGAGTGGGGAGAGACGGAGTAGGGAAGGAGGGAATGAACGCCATGGTGGGAAGGATAGCAGGGAGGGTTCAGATAGGCAGGTGACAAGTGGGCGGGTAGGAGATGCGGGCGCACAGCTGGGGGGGCAATCCTTACTATTCTGGCTACGGCGCCACTGGTAGGCAGTGGTGCAGCAGTGGGTGCGAGGCATCATCCCGACGAGGCATTATCCCGACGAAGAGAGGTGCAATGATCAGCCGGCTTGACACTCGTGCGTGGTGATGCCTGCACACGCACACCTCACATCGCATACGCACACCTCACATTGCACTCACGCATGGCAGGCCCAGCCATTCGGATGGAGTGTGTGCATTCGCAGTAGGAAGCTGCGGCCACGGGAGGGGTGGGGGAGGGGGAAGGAGAAAAAGAAACGGAAAGGGAACGGGGTACAGGTAAATGGAGGGGGTACAGGAAGGGAGAGTGGGTAAGGAGAAAGGGGAGGGGTAAAGGGAGGGAGAGGGGTCATAGGGAAGGGGAGAAAAAGGGGTAAGGGAAGGGGAAAGGGGAGAGTTGTACAGAGAGGCATTGAGAGGGCAAGGGTAAAGGCAGGGGTAAAGGGAGGAGAGGTGAGTTAAAGGTGGGGGAGGGGGTAAATGAAAGGTGAGCTCGCAAGGGGAAAGGGAGGGGACTGTGGGAGGGATTGATATAATTCTTAAATTGGTGCATTGGCAAGCGGCGTGGCAGTGCGAGTGGGTGGAATGGAAGGGTGTGAGAACAGCAAGCAGGAGCAGAGCGGAGCTGGATGGGTCAGGGATGAGCGGAGGGGTGGGAAGGGAGGATTTGGGGCATGAGTGAGTGGGAGGGGAGAGTTGCAGGGTTTTGAGGAGGGTCCTCTACAAGACTACAACTCCCCTCGGAGCTACAATGCGTCTTTTATATCTTCCGCCGGCCCCATCAGCAACCCTCCCTTCAATGGTCCCTCACAGTCCTTGGAGTAACTCTTACACATATTCCCGTCCCATGGCGACACCTCATCACCTCTAACACCTCGCCTCTCACACACACATCGCAACGCCTCTCACACATCGCAACGCCTCTCACACATCGCAACGCCTCTCACACATCGCAACGCCTCTCACACATCGCAATGCCTCTCACACACAACCTCTCACACACATCAGCCTCACCCCCCGTCTACCACCTTGGCGAATTCGAGCTTGTCAATTCCCCACCAGCCCAAGAACAGCTCCCCCTTCACGCCCTCCACCCGCCCTCCACCCCCCTCGCTACGCCGCCGACCCTACACCCCCCCAACGCCACCGACCCTACACCCCCCCAACGCCACCGACCCTACACCCCCCCAACGCCGCTTGCGCTGCTTGAAGGCGCCCCCGCCACCTGTCTCGTCGCCTGCCGCTGCGCCTGCTGCCTCCGCCACTCCTTCTCCCTCTCCGTGTCCCTCCCCTTGTTTATCCAAATTATTTTACCCAATTATATCATTATTTGTATCTCCATCGTTTTCCTGTTGTGCTTGCCCAGGGCCGCTAATCTTGCCAACGTGACTGATAATAATTTGCGGAACCTGCGGCTTCACTGTCGGTCGCCGAGCCGCCACCAGTAACAGAAGACCCAACCTCCGCCTTGGCTCGCACGATCCGCCACCGCGGTTACGTGCTTCCAGTCGCTCTCCTGAAACTGAAGCTGGGCTATCCTCAGATTCAAAGTTCACTCCAAGGTACGTGTGGGTGAGAAATCTCCCGTTTGTGTTCGCTATATAGGCAGCGATGCTGTCAGTCTAGCCACTGCCATGTGAACAGCCAATAATTAGCTGATATGTGAACATGAGCAATAGAAAATCCAAAAGAATTTGGTATCTCGTGACCAAGAAAAACAAATCATAGTAATTTGTGACGGGGGATGATAAATTTCTCTGTACGCGGCTTGGGA